AAGGCACTGGGCCCTACCAGGCTGCTCTCCAGGCCCTGCTAGGCACCCAGGAACCCGGGCCTCTCTGCTCTGTGGGTGCTGGTGGGTCTCCCCAACCTTCAGCACCTGCCCCGCCCAGGGCCCAAGGGGCCCTCCTCCCCTTTCCTCACCCCCTTCACCTCATTTCCCATCCCCTTCCCACATCTCCCTCATCCCTTCATCCACCTTCCCCCCTTCACCCTTCCATCCACTTCCACCCTCCACCTTCCATCCCCCTTCCATTCCACCCTCCATCCCCCCATCCACCCTCCCTCCCCACCTTTCCATCCCCCCCTTATCCACCCTCCATCCCAACCCACCTTTCCACCTCCCATCCCCCGTTCCACACACCCGGTTCCATCCCCCAGCCCCCATCCACCACCCGTCCACCCTTCCACCCCCCCTTTCCACCGCCATCCCCCCCCCTTTCCACCCTCCACCCCCCTCCCTCCCCCCCTTTCCCCCCTCCCCCCCCCCCCCCTTCCCCCCCCCCTCCCCCCCCCCCTCCCCCCCCCCTTTCCACCCTCCATCCCCCCCTTTCCATCCCCCATCCCCCCCCCCCCCTTCCCCCCTCCATCCCACCCTCCATCCCCCCCTTTCCACCCTCCATCCCCCCTTTCCACCCTCCCCTTTCCACCCTCCATCCCCCCCTTTCCATCCCCCATCCCCCCTTTCCACCCTCCATCCCCCCCTTTCCATCCCCCATCCCCCCCTTTCCATCCCCCCCCTTTCCACCCTCCATCCCCCCCTTTCCACCATCCACCCGCCCCTTTCCACCCCTCCATCTCCCCTTCATTCTCCAATCCCCCCCCTTTCCCCCCTCCATCCCCCCCTTTCCACCCTCCATCCCCCCCTTTCCACCCTCCACCCTTTCCACCCTCCATCCCCCCCTTTCCATTCTCCACCCTCCCCTTTCCACCCTCCACCCTCCACCCTCCCTCCTCCCCTTTCCACCCTCCACCCTCTCCTTTCCACCCTCCACCCTCCATCCCCCCTTTCCACCCTCCATCCCCCCCCTTTCCATCCCCCATCCCCCCTTTCCATCCCCCATCCCCCCTTTCCATCCCCCCCTTTCCACCCTCCATCCCCCCCTTTCCCCCCTCCACCCTCCCCTTTCCACCTCCACCCTCCCCTTTCCACCCTCCATCCCCCCTTTCCACCCTCCACCCTCCCCTTTCCACCCTCCATCCCCCCCTTTCCACCCTCCACCCTCCCCTTTCCATCCTCCATCCTCCCCTTTCCATCCCAGAACGCTGGGTCCAAGAGGCTGCTTCTAGGCTCTGCCCCAAACCCCCACCCCTACCCCCACCCCCCTTCCCCACCCCCTGGACAGGAGGTGGACCTCTGAGCGGAGCAGGGCCAGCCCTCCGCCGGGGAGGGCCGCCGCCTGGGACTCAGGGCCGGGCTGGGGCCGGGGAAGGGAGGCCTGAAGCGGGAGGGGCACGGGGACGGAGCCTGCCTGGGGCATCGGGCCGCACCCCGGCCTCTCCGGGCAGCCGCAGGGGGACCGCGGCCCCTCCCTTTCTCCAAAGCCCTGGCCCGGCCTCCCGCGCGGTTCACTCCCGGCCCGGCCCGGGCCCAGGTGTTGTCATTGACTTTTTACAGAGGAAGGGACATCGGGATCGAACCTGGGACCCTTCAGTCCGCAGGCCAACGCTCTGTCCACTGGGCCACACGAGTCAGGGCAAAAAGGCTAGATATACGTTTAAAGAAAGGCTCCGAGCCTGCCCGAGGGAGCGAGGAGCTGAGCCGAGCAGGTGAACCTGAGCCGGGGTGGGGCCCTCGCCGCGGGGTCCGGGTGGGCCCGCCGCGGCGCCGCCTGGTGGCGGGTCTGTTCGCGGCGCCTTGGGGAGGCAAACCCATCGGGGTCTCTGGCCGCTGTTTCTCTCCGCCGCCCCCCTCCGCTCCCCGAACCCCGCCCCGCGGGGAGCGCCCGGAGGACCGGCGAGCACGCCGCCCCGCCCACCGGAGCGCTGCGGGGAGCGCGAGCCGCGCCGCTCACTGCGCGGTCCGGCGGGGCGGCCGCTGCTCGCCGCGGTCCCGGCCCTGAAACCCGGCCCCTCGTGACCCGAAGCGCGGCGCTGGGCCCCCTCCGCTCCGCTCGCCGCCGGGCGGACCCCGGGGAAGGCGCAGGCCCCGCCCCGCAGCGGCCCCGCCCCGCTGCAGGCCCCGCCCCGCAGCGGCCGCGCCCCGCAGCGGCCCCGCCCCGCAGCGGCCCCGCCCCGCAGCGACCCCGCCCGCTGCAGGCCCCGCCCCGCTGCAGGCCCCGCCCCGCTGCAGGCCCCGCCCCGCTGCAGGCCCCGCCCCGCTGCAGGCCCCGGGCTCACCGCTCCGGGGGTCAGCCCGGCACCCCAGGGTCCGCCGCCTCCTCTCCCCACACCCTCCAGGGGTCCCCTCACTGCGCCCCGCGCCCCGCACCCCACAGCGCCTCTTCCCTGGCCCCGCAGCGCAGCCTCGCGGCCCGCAGGGCCCGGGGCGGGCAGGGCACGGGTTGGCGGCTGTCAGGGGCCTTATCGTTCGGAAAACGTTTGTCCTCTCTGTCACTTTTTGTCACTGATTTGAGAGATTTCCTAGTATTATGCATTTATTGGTTGCTTCTTTTTCTTCAAGTTTATTTTTGTTTTGCTTTGCTTTTCGTGGTTTTTAACAAATATATTTTTATTGATTTCAGAGAGGACGGGAGAGGGAGAGAAACATCAGTGATGAGAGAGAACCCTAGATCTGCCGCCTCCTATACACCTCACACTGGGGATCAAGCCCACCACCTGGCAAATGCCCTTGACTGAGTCAAACCGTGACATCCTGGTTCGTGGGTCGATGCTCAACCATTAAGCCACACCGGCCAGGTCATTGGTTGCTTTTTGTAAGTGGCCTGACCACGGATCGAACCCACATCAGGAGAATGCCCTAACCAATCGAGCTTTTAAACATTTTTATCGGAGTTTGTTTGAGCCAAACTGATGACACATGCGTGGGAGCAAGCTCTCAAGCTCCGGGGAAGTGTGTCTGCGTGCAAATCCCACTGAGAGGGTGCGCTCCCGAATGCTGGGAGGCGGGGTCGGCCTTGGGGGTCTGCAGTACCCCCTGGCCCCTGCGTGTCCCTCTCTTTCCTCCTGGAGGCTGGGGAGCTGGCAGCCGCTGCTCACGCTGAGAGTGGACCTGGGAGCGGGGCTGCTGGCCGCAGGACGAGGCCCTGGGTCCTGAAGAACCAGGTTTCCGGGAGAAATGCCCTCGATGGCCAGCCTCGAGGGGCCGGTGAGGCCGGCTTCTGCCCTGAGGGCGGGCTGGTGGGGCCAGGCTGGGGGCTCAGCTATGAGCGTGCCCTGGGCTCTTGGTTGTGTATGTTTGTTGTTGGTAACCCTCCCCCGAGGACATTTCCCACTGATTTTAGAGAGAGTGGAAGGGAGGGAAAGACAGACATGGAGCTGAGAGAAACACATCAATTGGTTGCCTCCTGCACGTCCCGGACCAGGGCCCAGGCTGGCCAGGAGGCTGCAACTTCACCAGAATTGAACCCAGGATCCTTTGTTCCACAGGCCAATGCTCTACCCACTGAACCACACTGGCCAGGGCTGGACTCTTGTTTTCATCATGGACCTTCCCCCTCCATGCTGATGTCTCCCGGAGATTAAGGAAGACAAAGATCTCTACTTTCCAACCTGCTTCTTCTAGTTCAGGGTCACAAGCGGCCAGTTCTCCCCACAGCTCAGGGCTCAAGGCTCTGGGACCCCACCCAGACAGGACGTCCTCCCACTGCAGGGGCACCCACAACCACGCCCACACTCACCCCGACTGGGACAACATGGACCTGCCAGTCACCTCACAATGTAATCGGTGCACTTTGTTGAGATGTGGGAAGAAACACACACACACACACACACACACACACACACACACACGGAACACGTGTAAATTCCAGAAGTGGTCCTAGCTGGGAAAGGACTTTTTTCTCTTTATAATTAAGGAGGAGGTTATTGGAGGACCAGCTGTACATTTTAAAAATTGATTTCAGAGAGGAAGGGAGACAGAAACATCAACAACGAGAGACAATGGTGGATCAGCTGCCTCCTGCACGCCCCCACGGGGATCCAGCCCGCCCCCGGGCCTGTGCCCTGCCCGGGAATGGAACCTGACTTCCGGGTTCGCAGGTCGGCTGACCCCTGAGCCCGCGGCGGGCCCGCTGTGCGTCCTCCCGCGCTGGGGCCGAGGCTGGGGGACCCGCAGGCGGGGTCTATGGACAACTCTTCCCGGAATGGCCGTCGTTGGGGCTGGGTGCGCGCGCCCCCTGGTGGCCAGCGCCGCCTCAGGCGAGGTTTCCTCATTCATCTTCAGGGACCCGCCTGCCCCGTTACAGCCACGCGTGAGCCCGAGGACGCGGGCTCTCAGCTCCTCCTGTCTCCCCACCGCCCCTGCCGGGGCGGCACCCGCTCGGGGCGGCGGCGGCGGCTCTGCCGGAGGGAACCTCGGAAAGGCCGCGCGGTGCTTGGGCACCATCGCGGGCGAAGCTCAGACCCTGGGGAGGAAACAGGCGTGGAGCAGCGGAGCCCCGTGGGAGCCGGTCCGGGACGGCGGGGAAGGAGCGGGGGCGGGGGGAGCGTGCGGAGGGCCTCCCGGAGCGGGGCGTGGCACCTCGCCTTTCCCGGTCGCTCCAGTGCCGCCGGCGGCAGCGGGGGTGTGGGTCCGGCTCAGGCCCGCACTTCGGTGGTTTCTGATCCCCCCTCTCCCTCCCATCAGCGGCTCCCTCAGGGGCCGCTCAACCCCCGCCCACGTCCGGCCCGCTTCTCCGAAACCCCCAATGGGGCGCCCGCGTGTGGACAGCCGCGGGCCGGATTGGATGGGGGACGGCCCGGCTCAGGGCGGGGGCGGGCCCTGGCCGGGGAGGTGGGCGTGGCCTAAGCGGCGGTGGGCGGGGTCAGGAATGGGCGGGTCCCGGCACTAGGAAGTGGGCGTGGCGGACGCTCGGCGGGGCGGGGCTCGCAGAGTAAAGTTCCGGGAGGCGGGCGTCCGGCGTACCGGCGCGGAAGTGTCCGGAGCCGTGCGCCTCCCCGTCGGGGCCCGCAGACATGTCGTCGGGGGACGCGGGGCCCGGCGGGCGGGAGGGAGCCCCGCGCGCGGCCGCCGCTCTGTGCGGCCTGTACCACGAGGCGGGGCAGCAGCTGAGGCGCCTGCAGGAGCAGCTGGCCGCCCGGGACGCCCTCATAGAGCGCCTCCGCGCCCGCCTGGCCGCGCTGGAGGGCGACGCGGCGCCGTCGCTCGTGGACGCGCTGCTGGAGCAGGTGGCGCGCTTCCGGGAGCAGCTGCGGCGGCGGGAGGGCGACGCCGGCGCCGTGGAGGCCGCGCTGCGCCAGGTGCGCCCGCGGGCGGGGCGGGGCGGAGGCCGGTCGTGGCCGAAGGCGTCTCCGGCCCTGGATGGGGTCACTGGGAGCGGTCGGCGGGCGGTCGGCTCCAGGACGCTTTCCTGCCGCACGAGGCGGGCACCGCTGCCTCCCCGGTCGCCGGCTCCGGGCTAATCTCCCCCCTCATCACCGCCCACTGCCACCCCTGCCTCTGTGCCGAGTCTGGTCCTTTATTGTGCTCTTCACACCCACAGATGGAGACCGCGCCGCAGAAAGGGCCGGCCGTGTGGCTCAGTGGCTGAGCGTGGGGTCAGGGCACATGCCCCGTTGCTGCTGGATCCCCCGTGTGGGCCTGCAGGAGGGAGATCAGTGATTCCCTCTGGCCATTGATGTTTCTTTCTCCCTCTCCCTCTGAAAGCAATAGGAAAATACTTTTAAAATGCAGAGAGGATCAGGGAAGGCTGGCTTCTGTCTTTATGAGGCTCAGATCCCACTGAGTAAGCAGACGTTGTAGAAAATCTATCGCCCGCCGAAAGCACCACAGAGGTGGGTAGCATGTTTATATTGTGAACACACGGCTTACCATGTGCCCAGTACATAGCTTAACCTCTTGCACATGGTTGGTGCTCAGGTGTGAAGGTCACTTCCTGCTGCTACTCGGGCGTTTATTGGGCTTTTTCATCGAGAACCCTTCATGTGGGAGCAGCGTGTGTGGACACGGGCTGTTTCCCGTCCTCCCGGTGCTCAGGAGGCCGTGCGCGCGCTGAGCGCTGAGCGTGGGTAAGGTGCTCACTCAGCGCGTGCGCGTGCGCGGGAGGCGGTGGAGGTTGATGGGCACGTGGCCACGGCTTTAGTGCCACTGCAGCTGTTTCTCACGAGGCTAGGGAATGCAGAGGCCCACTCCTGCCCTTCAGATTGCAGGCCTCACGTGTATGGAAGTGATCACTCCGTGAAGCAGGTTGTGAAAGGGGTGGAGCAAGGTGCAGTGGGAAGCACAGAATGTAGGATGAGTTTGGAACTAGGCCAACGTAAGTTTCCAACCCAGGACACTGGTACCATAGTGTAAGCTGCTTTTTACCCTTTAGACAGAATTGATGCACTAATTTCAGGTATGCAACATGATTTGATATTTGTATATACTGTGAGATGTTCACACTAAATCTAGTTCATTCATTGACCAATTAAAAACATTTTTTTTATTGATGTCAGAGAGGAAGGGAGAGGGAGAGAGAGAAACATCAATGATGAGAGAGATCAGTGATTGGTTGCCTCCTGCACACTCCCCATTGGGGATTGAGCCCGAAACCCAGGCATGTGCCCTTGACCGGAATCAAACCTGGGACCCTTCAGTCCGCAGGTTGGCGCTCTATCCACTGAGCCAGACCAGCTAGGGCTCCTTGGCCAGTCTTCATTTTTTAAAAAAATATATTTTATTGCTTTTGTACAGAGAGGAAGGGAGAGAGATTGAGAGTTAGAAACATCGATGATGAGAGAGAGTCATCGATCAGCTGCCTCTTGCACACCCACTACTGGGGATATGCCCACAACCAAGGTACATGCCCTTGACCAGAATCGAACCCGGGACCTTTCAGTCCCCAAGCCGACGCTCTATCCATTGAGCCAAACCGGTTTTGGCCAGTCTTCATGTTTAACCATCCTTGCGTTCTAGGAAAAGAACCCCAACTCGTCATGGTGTGTAAGCCTTTTCATGTGTTGCTGAGTATGTTGGTGGTATTTGGTATTTTTGGTGGTTTGCTGGTATTTTGGTGAGAATTTTTTGCTCAGCGTCCCTAAGGGGCCTTGGGCTGTAGGTTTGTGTCTTTGTCTTCCTTTGGAATCAGGGTAATACTGGCATCATAAATATAGGAAGTATTCCCTCCTCTTCAGTTTTTTGGGAAAACTTGAGAATTGGTATTCTTAAGTGTTTGGTAGAATTCACCTGTGAAGCTATCAGTTCCGGGTCTTTTTTAATTAAAAACTTACTGATTGGTGCTAGAGAACATTGGTTTTGTTGTTCCACGTGTGCATTTACTGGTTGCTTCTCACACGGGCCCTGACACGGGACAGAACCACAACCTGGGACGGCACTCTGACCACGGAGCTGCTGGCCAGGGCCTTCACTGACATGTGAAGGCTGATTTTTTTTAATATATTTTATTGATTTTTCACAGAGAGGAAGAGAGAGGGATAGAGAGTTAGAAACATCGATGAGAGAGAATCATCGATCAGCTGCCTCTTGCACACCCCCAACTGGGGATGCACCCGCAACCAAGGTACATGCCCTGGACCGGAATCGAACCCGGGACCTTTCAGTTCCCAGGCCGACGCTCTATCCACTGAGCCAAACCGGTCCCGGCTGAAGGCTGATTTTTAAGATAAAAATATAAGGTTGGCAAGTCCTTCAGAGTCAACCAAACTCACCCTACATTTGGCGTGTGCTGGCGGTTGTGTGTGTGTTGAGCAGGTTGAACACAGAGCCCAGGCCCTGGTCTATCGCCCAGTCGTAACCAGACAGTGCCAGGCTCGAGGCATGCAGACGGAGTGAAGCTCTGTGGACTGCCCCACCCCCGGCCCAGGGATGTGCTGCTGTTAGCAGAGAGGTTTGTTTCACCTGGTCAGTGAGGGAGGATGCTTAGAAAGCAAGTCTTGCTGAAACCAGTTTGGCTCAGTGGATAGAGTGTTAGTCTGAGGACTGAAGGGTCCCAGGTTCAATTCCGGTCAAGGGCATGTACATTGGTTGCAGGCACATCCCCAGTGGGGAGTGTACAGGAGGCAGCTGATCAATGTTTCTAGCTTTCTATCCCTCTCTCTTCCTTTCTGTAAAAAAAATCAATAAAATATAATTTAAAAAAAACACACAAAAACAGGTCTTGCCCAGGTCCTCCAGCCCCCGAGAGGATGTGAGGGAGCTCAGCACATGGAGGCAGTGAGGCGGGGTGGCCAGTACCGCTGCCTCCTACCTGGTCACTCGCGGGCTGCCCGAACCCTGGGGTCACCGCTGTGTCTGCAGAAGGGGAGACACTCAGAGCTGTCTCTGGTGTATGTGGGTGGGTGGGTGTGTGGGTGTGTGGAGACGGTGTGGTTGGCGGGATGGGGACTGAGCGCCGTAGCTGCTCCTGCTGGCGCTGTGGCACGGGAGGAACGGGAGGGACTTAGGAGTCTGTCACACCTGCGGTTCCGAGGGAGACTGCCTTCTGGTCTGTGTTCGCTGTGGAAGTCCTTCTGTCGCATGTTGTGTGGTCTGTGTAAGGTGTTTTATGGACAAGCATGCACTGGCACTGAGTAACCGGTGTCAGACAGGCAGGACAAGGCCGCCCCCCAGTCCTAAAGCTGCCGCAGCCGTGCGGCTTGTGGGCGCTTACCCGGCGTTTGCATGTCAGCGAGGTGGGGCTGCGAACGGGAGAAGAACGAGGCGGGCGGAGGAAGGCGAGGGGGTCGCCGCAGGTCCCCGAGGGTAAAGCGGTGCTTCAGGTGCTGTGAAGGTTCTGGAAAGGAACGCTGCCTCTGGGGAGTGCGGCTGGTGGAGTGCGGCCGGTGGGGAACGCAAGGTGTGTTTCCCTCGGGGGTTTGATGCTTTATACACGTGTCAAACACAAGGCCCGCGGGCCAAATCCGTCCCGCCAGGCCTTGCAATGTGGCCCGCACCGCGCTGTCATCACTGCACTCCGCTGCGTTTCCATCACAATGACAGTTTATGACTGTTCAGTAAACCATTCGGCCCGCGATTTAGGCTGGATTTTAGATTTTGGCCCCTTCTCTGATTGAGTTCGACACCCCTACTTTAAAAGGAGAAAAGGTTCTAGGTTCCTGGTGTCTGGTGCGCAGCGCCGCTTCCTCCTGACTTCACCTTCCAGGCTGCTCCCCCTTCGCCCATGACGGCCGGCCGGCTGGGCCTCCCCGGAGGCGCTCTGAACACGGGGAAAGCCCGGGGCGGGCCTCTCGCTGGTGCAGCCGCGGAGCTGGCGGGAGATGGGGTGTTGGACGCAGTTCCCGTGGCACGGAGCCGCCCGCGTGGAGCTGACTCCGCGTGTGCCCGCTGCCTGGTGGCGGGCCGGGCGGCGGCTGCTGCCGCCGGGCCTTTCTGAGCGCCGGCTTCTGTCTCCGTCAGGAAATCCAGAGGCTGTCGGAGCAGCTGGCGGCGAAGGAGGCGGCGGCGCGGCAGCGGGCCAGCCCCGGCCCGGAGCGCGAGGAGGAGCTGGCGGCGCGGCAGCGGGCCAGCCCCGGCCCGGAGCGCGAGGAGGAGCTGGCGGCGCTGAGGCGGCGGGTGGCGGAGAAGGAGCGGGCGCGGGCGGCCAGCGACACCCTGTGCCGCTCCCTGGCCGACGAGAGCCGCCAGCTGCGCAGGACCCTGGCCGCCACGGCCCACATGTGCCAGCACCTGGCCCGGCGCCTGGAGGCGGGGCAGGGCGCCGCGGGGGAGCAGAGGCCTGAGGTAGGCACCGGGCACCGAGGGGCCAGGCCGGGGCCTCCCTGCACTCCCCCCTCCCCGCCGCCTCTGTCACCGAGGCAGGGCCGCCCTCAGGGCTTCCTCCCAAAGATGGGACAGAAGGAGAAAATAAAAGAAAAACAAATCAACACGGGACACGCAGGAAAGCCGGCAGGACGGGACGGGCTGGGCAGTGCGGGAGGCCAGGCGGGGGCTTGTGTCTGAGCTGGCCTCTGGCCTCCGCACGGCCAGACCAGCATCGTGCTCCACACCCTCTTCAGGGCAGTGAGGGCGGCCGGAGGGCGGCCTTCCTGGACAGGGCGGCCTGGGCTGTGGCTGCAATTGGCGGCAGTGAGAGTTCAGCATCAGGAATCTCTCAGAGGGAGCCCCAGGGGCCGAGGGGTGTTGGGAGCAGAGGGAGCGATGGGCCGCAGCCTGCTGGGCGGGAGGCTGGGCGGCTCCTCAGTGCGCTCAGCCCCACGGGAGACCCTCTGCCTGAGAAGGGCGCAGCGGGGTGGGCTCCCCAGAAAGGGAGCCGCAGCGACACGTGTGTCAGAACAAAGGAAAGGGCTCGGGGAGGCGTGTCCTCGTCCGCGTTGGACTCACTGCCTGCCCTGTGGAGGCCAGGCACGTGGGCGGCCGGGGCCGGGCCCTGCAGCCACAGGCAGCATCACTTCCCAGCCCGGGGCTCGGGCTTGGGTGAGTCATGGGGTTTCCCCAGCGCGGGCAGCACTTCCTGTGGCTCACGGGGAATTCTCCAGAACCTGTCGGCAGGCCCACGCTGGGCTGTGCTGTCCCAGGCCGGCTCTTGAGGAGCCGGGGGACCCGCCCTAAGATCTCCAGCCAGGTCTGCCCCAGGGGGCTGCTCTGGTATGTGGCTCTGGGTGCGACCCCGAGCCTGCGTGGAGTTGACCGAGTGTCTGGAGACCACGGGGTGGAGGGCGTGGAGGGCTTGACGCGTGCTCCGTGGACAGGGGCTGAGCCTCCTGCCCTCAGGGGGTGGGCCTGGGCAGGTGAGGGCCGCCCTGCACACGGTGACCTCAGCCTCGGGGTCTGCTCCTTCCCCTCTGCCGCACGTGACTGCACGCCCGGTAACAGGTCTCTCCGTGTCCTTGTGCAGCCAGAACACGCAGGCGGGGACGCCTCTGTCCAGGCTGCGGTGCAGAAGCTCCAGGAGGAGAACCGGCTGCTGAAGCAGAAGCTGACTCACGTGAGTGTCCACTGTGCGTCGGGAAGAGCTCCAGGGAGTGCAGGCCCTGCCGTCGGCCCCCGGCTGCCAGCCTTTTCCCTGAAGGACTAGTGGACTCATTCTGTGGTCCCGTGTCCATAGCAGGGGCCGGAGTCACTGTCCGACGGCCCCCGAGGCAGGAAGCACTCGGTGTTAGGCGCTGCTTGTGCAGAGCGGAGGCCCCGTGGACAGGACGCCTCCGCCCGCCAGTAGCCTCCCGGCTGGTGGGCAGGAGCGCGGCTGCCAGCCGCTCACGGCGCCGCCCGCCCGCCCGCCCGCCCGCAGGTGGAAGACCTCAACGCCAAGTGGCAGCGCTACGACGCCAGCAGGGACGAGTACGTGCAGGAGCTGCGGGCCCAGCTGCGGACGCTGCAGGCCCCCCAGGCTGAGGCGGAGGAGCTGCTGAGGAAGGAGATCGCCAGGCTCAACGGGCAGCTGGAGGAGAGGCTGGGCGAGTGCGCGGGGGCCGCGAGGGAGCTGGCGGCGGCGCGGGAGCGGGCGCAGATGCTGGAGCAGCAGGTAGGACGGGCGGGCGGGAGGCCTCGGGGCTGCAGTGATGCTGAGGGCCGCTCTCTCCAGATCCTCGCCTACAAGGATGACTTCACGTCGGAGCGGGCGGACCGGGAGCGGGCGCAGGGCAGGATCCAGGAGCTGGAGGACCAGGTGGCGGCCCTGCAGCGCCAGGCGCGCAGACAGGTGGGTGTGGGGCCGGCCCATGAGCTCAGGCCTCTGTCCTTCCCACGGACGCCGAGCCTTGTCTGCTCAGAGCCATTGCCTGCTCTGGCAGAGCCCCGGGCTGGGTGCGGGGTGGACACAGCCTCCTGGGGAGGAGGTTGGGTGGGTGGGACAGCTGGTGGCCATGCCCAGGCTGTCTGCCTTGGTGCTTACTGCCCACACCCGGGAGCACACCCGGATCCAGGAGGGAGGCCTGTGGCCCCAGAGCCCCTGGCTCTGCTCTCCCTCCTGCCTCTTTGGGAAGCAGGCGAGGCGTGCACGCCCCCCGGAGGATGGAAGAGCCCAGCCGGGACATCCTCTGCCTTTTCTCCAGGGTCCCCCAGAGGCAGGCTCCTGCCGGATCCACACGGCGAGCAGAGCACCCAGGCACGCGGAGACCAAGGCTTCGGAGAGGCCCGTGTCCGCCTCCCGGGGCCCGGCCCCTGTGGAGGGCGGGGGCCCCGGAGCCGGCCGCAGAGGCCAGGGCGACCTGCAGTGCCCACACTGCCTGCAGTGCTTCCGCGACGAGCAGGGCGAGGAGCTCCTCAGGCACGTGGCCGAGTGCTGCCAGTGAGCCCGGGGCCGGGCGGTGCTCCCGGCCCCGACAGCGGGACCCCAAGGCCCGGGCGGAGGGTGCTCCGGCACTCACCTTGGGCCCCCTCGGGCTTGGAACAGAGGCTGGGCTTTGGGTCCCCACACTGTGAGGCTGGGCCGGAGCCGGCGCTCACGGGCCAGGGGATGGCCTGCCCCCGCCTGCACCTGGGACGCTGCATCTCGAGGGAGTAGGTGGCTGCCCGAGGAAGCCGCCCGTTGATCCCCAGGGTGGAAGGCACCCCGGTTTGCAGAGCGGAGCACTGCGGCTGTGTGTCCATTGAGGGGCCATCTCGGCCTCGGCGGAACCGGGAGCACTGCATTGCTTGGTTTCTGTCCGTCCGTGTTGTAGCCACGTACTTTTATAATAAACGCATTTGCTGCAGTGGCTCAGGGGCCTGGGCGAGGGGCCCAGCAGCACTCTGGGCAGAGCCAGGCCAGCAGGGGAGAGGCGCTCCTGCTTGCCACCTTCTGTTGAGGCAGGGCTGCTCGCTGGGCGGCGGCTGGGACAGCGGACTTCATCCCTGCCCAGGTGGGAGGCCCTCGCCGCCCTCTTCTCCCGATGTCACTCCGGCAGTTCCTCCTGATGCCTCGCGCTCCCTGCGGCCGGTCCAGGGTGCTTCTCGTTTCTTTACACGCTGCGCTTGCACCTGTTTTGTCTTCCACTCCTGCCTCCGCCTCCTGCTTTCTGGCAGTTTCCACACAGAACTGGATTCCACACGCGCAGACGAGCAGGTCGGGGGGCCGCTGCAGATCTGCTCTCCAGCGCGCTGTGTGCAGTCCCTTCTGTCTGGAATGCTGCCCCCAATTCCAGCCCCCGCTGCCTCCCCAGATGCCAATCTCTGCTTCTCCCACGGGCAGCGCGCTGGGCTCTGTGCTTCCTCCCCATGGGCTGGGCCTGGAACGGGCTCCATATGGAGCCTCAAAAGCCCCAAACAGCCCAAGAACTCTTGGGAGACACCGAGCGGGAGGGGCCAGGCTCTGATATCAAACTGGACTGCAAGGCCACAGTCACCAAAGCAGATCAGCACCAGCACCAGCATGCGCTGGCCCGGTAAACCCTCGCGCAGGGCCGTTACTCTGACACAGGAGGCAAGAACATACGTGGGGTGAGCCAATACCTGATGTCCCGGTTAATAATGCGGATGTTTTAAATAGACGGAGTCACACATCTGTTGATACACATGTGACTTGATTCGTATGCTGTTTTGTTCTGACAACAAGCTTCAAAACTTCATGTCAAATTTGCTGAAGGTGTTAACATATTTTTATGCTTAAAAATGTTGAATTTTGTGCCAAAAGAGCATTTGCGGGAAGTTTTAATTCATTACTTTATTTTGAAGAAAAGTGCTGCTGAATACTTCGGGAAGCTTATGGTGAGCATGCTCCATCTCAAGTTCCTCGTGACCGCTGGCTTAAACGCTTTAAAAGTGATGATTTCAATGTGAAAGATAAAGAATATTCAGGTCAACTAAAAATATTTGAAGACCAACAATTACAAGCATTATTAGATGAAGGTGCATGTCAAACTCAAAAACAACTTGCAGAAAGATTCAACATTGCTAGCAAAAGATTTCCGATCGTTTACAAGCAATGGGAAAGATCTTAAAAGAAGGAAAATGGGTGCCACATCCACTGAACGAAAGACACATGGAAAACCGAAAAGTCATCAGGAAAATGTTGCTTCAGTGGCACAAAAGAAAGTCTTTTTTGCATTGAATTGTGACTGGCGATGAAAAGTGGATTTATTTTGAGAATCCCAAATGCACAGAATCATGTGTTGATCCAGGTCAACCATCAACATGGACTGCAAGGCCCAATCGCTTTGGAAAGAAGACACTGCTCTGCGTTTGGTGGGATCAGGATGGTGTGGTGTATTATGATCTTCTAAAACCAGGTGAAACCGTTAATACTGAACACTACCGACAAAAAAGAATTAATTTGAGCCACGCTTTGATTGTGAAATGACCAGAATGGGCCAGAAGATATGGCAAAGTAATTTTGCTTCATGATGATGCACCATCACACACTTCAAAACCAGTTAAAGACACGTTAAAAGATCTTGCCTGGGAAGTATTAACCCACCCGCCATATTCACCAGACCTTGCTCCTTCAGATGACCACTTGTTCTGAAGGATGGCACACACACTTTCTGAGCAGCACTTTAACACACATGAAGAAGTAGAACATTGGGTCTCTGAATGGTTTGCCTCAAAACAAAAGTTCTATTGGGATGGTATCCGCAAATTACCTGAAAAATCGGGGAAATGTGTAGTTAGTGATGGACATTACTTTGAATAAAGCACTTTTGATGTTTCTCTTGAAATTATCCTGTTTTCTTTGATTACAAAATCCGAGTTATTAACTGGTACAATTGGTACATAAAGTAAATGGAAAAACTGTACTGATACAGGCAAAGTAATGAAAATTTCTTACACCATATACAGAAATAAGTAGCACCTGAAATCATAAACTTGGAGGGCAGCGATTTTTAACCGGTGCACCACAAGAATTTTTAAAACACGCAATACCTAACCTCTTTCCCCTTGGATTGACAAGTAAACAAATGACACAGCCATCACAATAACAGTCGTCTGGTGTGAACAAACCAAAAATTATACCTATTTTTTTGTCGGGCAAAAAAATACATATTTTTTAATTTTAGTAATTAGTTTGTGTGCCATGAAGGAAAAAGGTTGAATCCCTGACCTATAAACATAGGCACTGAATTTCCTGACTTTGCTCTTAGCAATATCTCTTGGCTATGTCTCCTCAGGCAAAGGTAACCAAAAGTATACAAATGGAACTTCAGCAAACCAGAAAGGTTTGCACAGTGAAGGAAACCATCGACAAAAGGAAAAATCCTAACCAATGAGAAGACATTTGCCAATGATACATCCAGTGAGGGGTTAGTACCCAAAATTTATAAAGAACTCATACAACTTAATACAAAAACCCTCACACCAATCCAATTAAAAGTGGGCAAAGGAACTGAATAGACACTTCTCCAAAGCGGACACACAGGAGAGAGAGAGAGAGAGAGAGAGAGAGAGAGAGAGAGAGAGAGAGAGAGAGGGAGAGATGGAAAAAGGTTCAACGTCACTTTTGATACAGTTAAAACAAGAACACTGCCAGGATGGCATCATCAATACATCGAAGTACTGGCGAGGATGTGGACAAAAGGGAACCTTCGTGCACTGCTAGTGGGAATGCAGACGGGTGCAGCCACTATGGAGTTTACGCAAAAAAAAAATTAAAAAATGAATGGCCCAGCCAGTGTGGCTCAGTGGTTGTCAACATGGGAACCAGGAGGTCATGGTTTGATTCCCGGTCAGGACACATGCCCAGGTTGCGGGTTTGACCTCGTGTGGGGCGTGCAGGAGGCAGCCGATCCATGATTCTTTCATCGTGGATATTTCTCTCCCTCCCTCGCTGAAATCAGCAAAATATATTTTAATTAATTAAAAATGGAATTGCCTTACAACCCAGCAATTCCACTTGTGGGCATTATCTGAAGAAAACAAAACCCTAATTAAAAGATACACATACCCCATGCTCGAGCCTAGGAGCCATTTCCCTGGAGCTTCATCCACAGAATCCAGACGTGGAAGGAGCCTGGTCCGTCCAGACACGGGGCAGACGTGGGACTGCAATGGGGCCACCTGTGCGCAAAGGAAGGCCGGGTGTGCAGCAGGCGATGCCTGAGACTCTGAGGAACAAAGCCCACCAGCAGAGCGGAAACAGACTCAGAACAGGTTGGCGGTGCGGGATGTAAACAAAGTGAATCACCAGCTGAGGAAACACCAACCTCTGCGCCACAGGCTCCTGGCGTGGCACTGCAGGGCAGCTGCACCTCGTGGTCACGTGGCCCCGAACCCAGCGTCGCAGGGCACAGGTGGGGCTGCACCACCAGAGCCGCCTCCAGGCAGGACACTGGCCCCTGCCCCCCCAGTGGACCCTGCCCCAAGCTGCCCCTGCCCCCCGCCCCCTCCCTGGGGACACTGCCCTGTGCCGCCCCTGCCCCCCTCCCCTGGGACCCTGCCCCATGCCGCCTCTGCTCAGACACGCCTCCAGCGCTAGCTAGCACTTGGCTGGCTGGAGCATCATCCCGTCCGCTCGGCACAGGTTTCCGGTGACGCCCTGTCAGGACGCCTCCCTCTCCAGCCCCTATCGTGGGGGAAGGCAACCAACCCGTCGATGTTCCTGTCGCCCCTTCCCCCGCTCCCTTTAGGAAGCAATGGGAATACCGAGGTGAGGGTTAGCGGCGAAAGCTCCCGACGCGCACACACGCCAGGGTGCAGTGTGGGCCCCGTCTCTGCACACGCCAGCCGCACCCACACTGCAGGCGGCCTGTCTCCTCCGCAGTCCTCCCGGAGCTGCACGCCACCTCAACAAGCCCCTCGGCCACACCGGCCGCTGCCGCCTCAGCTACGCCCACCCTCGTGTCCCACCTCCGCTGCTCTGCCCTCCACCCTCTGCACTGGTTCTGGGGCTCTGAGCCTCTCTGCCCTCGCTCCACTCTGCTCCGCGGTGGATCTGGCCTGTGTGAGGCCTACGTGACCGACCGCAGCCCTGGGACGGCGGCACCATCCCTCACAGCTCTGGCTGGAGCGAGGCCTCGTCCCCTCACCTCCTGCATCAGCACAGCCCCTGGCAGGAAGCCCGTGGGCTCAGAACCCTCCGGGCCAGCCCACCGCCCCGCCCCAGCTCAGAGTCTGGCCAGGGGTCTGCACAGCAGCAAGGCCTCGCAGGTTTTCAGGAGCCAAGGCGCCGGGGGAGCCATGGAGTGTTCTAGAAGGGTGGCAGCTCCAGAGAACTTTCTGAAAACTGGAGACTTCAGAAGGGACCCAGTTGGGGTTCCTTTTTTCACTTGAAATACTATTCATGTCCTAGACCACATGTGTCAAACACAAGGCCCGCGGGCCAAATCCGTCCCGCCAGGCCTTGCAATGTGGCCCGCACCGCGCTGTCATCACTGCACTCCGCTGCGTTTCCATCACAATGACAGTTTATGACTGTTCAGTAAACCATTCGGCCCGCGATTTAGGCTGGATTTTAGATTTTGGTGATTGAGTTCGACACCCCTATCCTAGACGCACACCCAACTTAGTATCTGTAGAGTTTTATTACAACCCCACAAAGCTCGACGGGCCCCTGCCTCCAATCCCCTCTCTCTGCCTCCTTTGCCCACAGGAGTGAATGCAATGGCCTCCCGGCCCCAGCTGGGCACGGTGCCCACTGCTTCTCCACTTACCGTTTCTGGTCGGTCTGTCCTGAGGCCGGCCCAGAGGCGGAGGCACCGGACCTGAGCTGCCACGGGGGGTGGTGGCCCAAGGCCCGCACACCCTGCCCTGCCAGTGCCCGCCACCCCCGCAGAAAGCAACCAGACGAGGTCTCCTACTGTACTAATGTATTCCATCTTTCAAAAAGAAAGACATGATTTTAATATTACTTAACAATATGTTAAAAAGTAGCCAGGCAGGCCTCCGTGTTAATACAGTCGTACACTCTAACAGACGGTGGTGAGTACTGGGTGGGATTGTTTTGAACTTTCTCACTCGGCAGGGGTCGTACACAAGCTGGCTACAAGTCAGGGGTCGGGCACAAACAGCGCGACGTGTACACTCTGAACAGCAGATTGTGGAGGTCGGAGCACGCCTGCCCCGCCAGCCCGCCCGTCTCGGGTGGGAGCTGAGTGAGGGCGTCACCCAGGGGGACAGATGACAGGACAGGGAGAGATGCAGGGGCCACGGAGCCACGTGGATGATGCAAACTCGTCTCTGGCCACGGCCCGGGCCTCGGGGGCCGCGGTGGCAGAGCAAGTGGCGGGAGCTGCTGCCCAGCCCGCCGGCACAGAGCTACGATCAAAGGCTCACAGACTACACGCACACAAGCTAACGTGGCGGGCGGGCGGCACGTCCTCGGCTGGGGCCCAGCCTGTGCCACACCCCCGTGCGTCCCTCTGGTGGTCCTCGCTCAGTGGGCAGCAAACGTGGCCTTTTTCAAGCTAAAATTGGACCAGTTGATGGACAGTCTCTGTCGTGTCTGTCTGGCGGAATCCAAGCAGAATCTGGAAGACGAGAAAGCAGTCACTGGAGCCTCCTGGGCTTGGTGTGGGCCCCACACCTTGCCCGGCCACACCTGGTCCCCCTCAACGGGAGGTGCGGGCGGGACCGGTGTTACCTGCAGCGCTGCCAGGAGGTTCCGAGAGCCCCCTGGGAGCCGGGGCCCCATCCCACACAGCCCTGGGAGGGGCGCTGTGCCCTTCCCAGTGACCGACACGGGACACCAGCCTGCCCTCGCTTAGCCCCAAGTGCACAGGCGTGAGGGATTGAAAGGGGAACTTTCACAGCCCTGCCCCTCCCTCCGGCCTCAGGGGACAGGGAGGGCCCTCCTGCTGGATCACACACTGCGCTCCACAGCGTCTGGAAGACCAGGGGGCCGGCCTGTGCTCAGGGAGGGAACGGACACACTCCTTAGCCTGTTCACTCTCTTGGGGAACAGAAACCTGAATGGACCTGAAAAATTCTGTTGCTGCCATGTGTCTGGCAGGTAAAATGAGTTTGCTGACACTCTGGTTAACTGTCCTGCGCCCGTCCGGGGGAGGCCCGTGCTGTCACTCAGAACCCGGCTCTCCTCCCCGCACCGCTGCAGACCTGAGCTGGTGACGCACCTGC